TTATCTTATAATCGCTTGACAAAATAAATAAATAAAATAATTAAAATTTTGCTCGGGCCTGTTCTTCCTTTTTATGACTCTAATTCAGTGTCTGTGTTTCCACATGTCTTCTTAGAGATACAACCCATTGCCTTTATGGGAGCATTTTATTGAGTATCCAAGACATCACAATTTAATTTGGAAGGGCTTGAAGTACCACAAAGAAACATATGCCCTGATCATCAACTCAAAGCAACTTTTTGTTTGTTTGTTTGTTTTTTGTTTCTCAATATTTTGTTTCTCAAAAAAAGCATACCAGCGTGCCTACCATCCCTGTCTTTCTGTCCCCATTTATCTATATTTACTTCCTTTGTTCTTGTTTATGTTCATATTTATACTTGTTATCTTGTACGTTTGACAAACAAGCGAACAAACAAACAAATAAATAAATATCTTGGGGAGCGGGGAAAGAAGGGGGAACTGTCAGGGTGCAAATCTTGCCAACAGAAAGAACTTTTGTTTTGCTCTTTCTGACTTGGTCTATATTACTTTCTTTTCAAAGGTATAAGATGTGTGATATGTTAGGAAAAAATGGAAGAGATAAATCACTATTCTTCCCTGTATTCCTAGAGGATTTTTAATGTGAAAAAAGGAATGATAAAATATAATATAGGGCTAGAACATTCTAATAACAGGCACAGTAAAAATACTTTCAATTTTTGTTGTTGCTTAGTCACTAAGTCATGTCTGATTCTTCACTATCCCATGGATCATAAGCATGCTAGCCCCCCTTCCATTGTCTCCCTGAGTCTATCCATATTCATGCTCATTGCATTGATGACACTATCCAACCATTTCATCCTCATCCTCCGCCTTCCAATTCTCCTTTTGCCATTATTCTTTCTCAACATCAGGTTTTCTTTCCAATGAGTCCTCTCTTCTCCTTTGGTGGCCGAAGTGTTTGAGCTTCAGCCTCGGTTTCAAAAATGGTCCCCTTGAAATCAATGCAGTTTATTTTTGAGTAATAAGATTACACTGAATCTCTCTTTCCAAGGAGTATTTCATCACATTGTGCCTATGCTATGTCTAGATGTTTCTCTTTAATTTAGCAGGCTAGTCCCTCTTTTCTTCAGACTATCAATTCTCTAGTCTATCTTAAGAAGCAAGTAGCCCAGTGGTGGGATTCAAAATTTTTTACTACCAGTTCTGTGGGTGTGGCTTGGTGAGCGTGTCAGGGGAAAGATCTGTAAAATCTCCAGTCAGAAGTGGTATTTGCTGGTTCTCCAAACTACTCAAAATTTCCGCTACCGGTTCTCCAGAACTAGTCAGAACCTGCAGAATACCACCTCTGAAGTAGCCTAAATTACTAGGAAATACAAACCCAAGGGTCATATGGGCCATCAAGTCCCACCTCTTGCTTAGCACAGGAATGCAAATTAAAATATTCTTTTAAAAATCTCTCTAGCCTGCACCATTATTTCCACTGCTTTCAACAAAAGGCCTGAGTTTTGAAATACAAGATTACCTCTGAGGATATATATATATTAAGTGTATACTCATGACTTCCTCATATTATTAAGGGTGCAGACACAATTCATTTTTAATGCACTCCTAAACTCAAGCACTTCTATTTAGAATCTGTGCTATCTTTCATTCCTTTATGACTCTAATATCCATTGAGAAAAACAAATACTTATGTTTTTTTCATTGTTTTTAAGTGAATCTAATAAATAAATGTATATTTCCCCCATTCATTATCTGTTCAAGGCATGGTTTTCATTCTGTGAAGAATTTTATTGCACCAAGAAGTAACTACAGTACCAATTTTAATAATGAACTGAACACAGGGAGATCTTTGGTTTTCTGTCCTTAACTACTACACTACCACTTCTGTTTATTTGGTGTTATTATTCCCAATCATCTGTTTCTCTCCCTGTTTGATAGCTGCAGAAATCCTGATTAACTTTCTCCACCAGAAGCACACTACAATTTGAGATATGATATAGCCATTCCAATCTCATTTCCTTCAATGAAAAATGTAAGTCATGCTTTTGGGAATAATTCACTCAAAGGAAAGTTCTCCTGCCACTGAAGTAGGCTGAAGTAACACAATGTTTAAAGGCTTTTTAAAAAGATGCTGAAATGCAAATGAAGCACTATTTCAATATAGGGAACAGTCATTTTGTACATACTCAAATTATTTCTTTACCAAACATACTCTGAAGGGGAAAGAGAGAACAATTATAAAATGTGTCAAGGGAGAAAAAAATGGAATGAAAAATTAAGTCTGAGTTATAAAAATAAGTAAGTTTGCTACTTACAGAAGGCTTATTATATTAATTAAACATTATTACAGGGAATAAGTTGGAGAGGATGTACAGTCTGAGTCTTTCATGTTGCTGGAGGTGCAGTTATTCTCTGATATTAATCTTCTAAAGCATTTTAAATTTTAAAGAGGTGAACACTGGAAATAGGAAAGTTTCTCCAACTGCACCCCTACAGAGACCCTAACTTTGGGACAACCTAAAACAAACATTGAAGACCCAGGCAGCAGTCTCAATTTCTTTCTAAACATGTCAGTTCAACAAAAGAATGTGATCATGGAAACTTTAAATGGAACTTAGGGTCAAAGCCAACATGTATCAGCTTAGCAAAATCAGGGCTACTCTTATTAAATGGAGGGTCTGAAATGGAAACAAAACCTGCCCCCTTTCTGCCTTACTATCACTGTCAGCCTCTTTGCTGCTTTAATTACTCCCTCCCCCCCCCCCCCCCCCCCCCCCCGAGCCTGGGAATAGAGGAAAGAAGAATTCCATTCCTACTTCAAAGTCAAACCTGAGCTTATCTGGCTCAGTTCTTTAGGAAGGGTGTAATCTTCTGTGCAGAATGTTTGCTGATAATTTTTGTTAGTATGCATAAAAAAAGAGAGCCAGTTTGGAGTTGTGGTTTAAAGTATTAAGCTAGAAAGTGAGAGACCTTCAGCTGTAGTTCTGCTTTAGAGACAAAGCCAGCTGGGTGATCTTGGGCCAGTTTCTCTCTCTTTCCCTGGAAAGGAAGCAAGGGAAAACCACTTCCAAAATATTGCAGGGTATCACCCCCACACACACACATAAAAAAGACAACATAATGCGGTCTCCTTGGGCACCTAAAAATCTTGGGTAAGATAAGAAGAAGAATAATGGTTAAAGCACCAGGCTAGAAAGTGGGATCCCATGAGTTCAAGTTTTACCTTAGCCATGAGAGCCAGCTGGGTAATTTTGGGCTAGTCATTCTCACCTCACTTCACAGAGTTGTTGTTGTGAGGAAAATTGAAGGAGGAAGGTGTGTTGTACATGTTCACTGCCTTGAGTTATTTGTAAAAATAATAAAGACAGAAAATAAATAAATAAACAAATAAATCTGAAGAAATGAAATTAAATGCAGTAGTTCAAGCCAATGGTCTAAACTGACTGAATGCATGGCCTTAACATGCTGTAGAATTTGCTGCAAGACACTGGGACCCTATAGGAAGCACTGAGATAATTTACAGAATACAATATGTAGAAGTGTTTGGAAGCTGGTATTGCAAACAAAGGCTGATGCTTAACCACCTAAAAGATAAATCAATCAGTGACACTCAATTTGTATTGGACAATTTTTGTTGTCTTTTCTGTTCTGCCCAGCAGGGAATACTATCTTTCAATTCTAGAGCCTTATAAATCTAGTTATTACCACCAACATATAGCTACCAGGGAGAATGAGTGGTTACAAAATACTTCTCTATTAGTCAAGACCCACGAATGGGGGGATGGGAATTTACTGAATATGCATGCTCCTTGAGTACAGATGTTGCAGTGATCAGGACTAATGCCTTAGCAATAAAATTAAATTGTGTGAAAGATTTCTCTCAAACAGCAGGATCACTTCTAGTAAATCCTCAGATTTGTGCTATGAAATTTTAATGCCTGTTCATGGAAATTAGGCAAACATTTATTTGAAGCTAGCAAATATCTCCTATGTTCAATGGGGAGAAGGAAAAGCATAAATCCTGGAGTTTGTTGAAAGAGATGAAGAATGAGCTAACAGACTTTCAGCTAGAGACAAACTTAGATCCTCCACACTGCATGCACAAGGTCTCATATTGTGAAGTCCTTATTGTGTTCACAGTCCTTTGTCTGACAACATAAGCCTCTGTAACAGCAGAAGTATCAAAGCCTCCAATGCAAATATCAGGGTCTTACAGAGGCCCAGGCAAGTTCTAGTCTCAAAGGAAAATTGACAATGAGCATAGTACAACAGCAAAAAATCTCCTTAGTTTCACACTGAAGGAGTATTTGCATGCAAGGTAATGTCTAGAAAGCAGAAGCCAAAACAAGCATCCAGACTATTCAAAGTGAGACTTTTATTATTGATGTTCAAAACCAATACCAGCTCACCCAGACAAAAACAAGTACACTATTCCATTTTCTTAGCGCATAAAAAGTCTGCAGATAAACTGAATACACATGCACATGGATAGTTAGCACATGATTTCAGTTTCCTCTCTGGTGTGCAAGTATCCCTCCTGCAACAAATGCTTTGCTTAAATAATCATTCACAACATTCACAGATAAGAGATGATATGCTACAATTATAAGGGCTAAGGTCTAAGAACAGGAAGAACCAAATTCAAATTCCTGTTCTGAAGCTGTTCTTCCATAGCCTAGCCTAGCTTATAGGGCAGTGGTGAAGACATAATAATAGGTTGTGTGTATATGTAAACCTATATTAGGAGAATTATACTACATATTGATTTACATCATATACATATCTGTTTAAAAGCACTGTGTCTTTTTTTTACATGTATCTTAGATTGATTTTATTGAAGAAACATAAAAAATACTTGGAATTGATAAATAATTTTACAGCAATATGCCAAAAAGGCAATGTTCACAGTCTTTGTAATGTATTCTACAGTTCTTCAGAGATAATTTAAAAACTTATTTTCCTAAGTCCACAGTTCATGGATATTTTTTCTTTTGAAATGATTTTAATTGACTTACCTGGGTAGACCCCAATGCCTGGTTCTAAATGGCTAGTCCAGGTTTTTCTAGAATGAAAAGCCCATGTAAATCCTGTAGACGTGTCATGTGTCCAACCACAAAAATCTTCAGGAAGATCAAAGTTGCAATTGAATCCTATTGGGATCTGGAAATCTTGTGAGAAAACAGCACAACGTAAAAATAAGATCAAAGGAAGGCCTGTTTCTATTTAATAACTTAACATAGTTGGCAAATCATAAATGGTTATAGAAATATAAAGTCTTTTCAATATGTGCAAGCATACAAAACAGATTAGGGGTTCAGATAAATCTGAAATAAAATTTTGGAATAAATTATAAAGATTCCTTCCTGTGCAAAATGTTCCTGTTTTGAATTTGCTTTAATAAAATATAATAAGACAAGGCTTTAAAAATTGGGCACTAGAGGGAACTAAAAATTACAATTAAATGAGAAAAACTCTTAAATTTGACTTACAAATGAAGCAAAGTAATTTAACATTGGAGATGCTTAAGGATATTTTGAACAATGGACCCAGAAGTTAAATAGTGTCTATTTCTATAGAAAGATTTTATCTAAAGGAATGTAGAGGACTTCTGGGGGGCCGTGCTCCACCAGCGGCCCGGATACTCTCATACCAGGATGGCTGGCGGGTAGGGAGTTTCACCTGGAATTTTGAGGGGAAGGGGAGGCACGAGATGAAGAAGGGTTAAAAGAGGGAGCGTGCAGAAAAAAGGGAGAGAACAATGGATGACTGAAGAGGAGAAGGGGAGGAGGTGAAGGAGGAGGAAGGAGAATAAAGGGAAGCAAGATGATAGCAGAGTGGGAGGAAAAGGGGAGCCAAAAGTAGAGTGGAAGAATAGCAGCTGAAGGGTGTGTGTGTGTGTGTGTGTGTGTGTGTGTGTGTGTGTGTGTGTGAGAGAGAGAGAGAGAGAGAGAGAGAGAGAGAGAGAGAGAGAGAGAAGAGGCAGAAGCAGAGGGATAGACAGACAGAGAGAGACACAGGGAGAGAGAGAGAGTCAGAATGATTTAGGAAAATGTGAGCGAGTGAGGCAGGAAGAGACGTACCAGCTGACCCTGTGACCGACATCTCTACCTGACAAGGATTACCTGGCAAAACAGAGGAGGCAAGAAAGAAGCGGGCAGAGAGCCAGACAAACAAGTGTGTAGCAGAGCCAGATGTGGAGTTGAAAGCAGTGGAGCCAGACAAGGCAACACGCAATGGAGCCAGGTGAGTGGGCCAATAGGTGAGAGGAGCCAGAATCGGATGAGTCAGAGGTGCAACGGAGCCAGACGAGCAGGATGGCAGGCAAACTGAAAGCAGTGGGACCAGATACTTTTGAGAATGGTGGAGGTGAGCTGAGCAAGTGGGGCATGTGTGAGACTGACCAGAAGTGTGCAGTTGGCCAGGGCAAGAGACAATGATAGAGACATTGGGATGCTACAATAAGGACACGAGGCAAAGGATGGGATTGAGAGTCAGGAAGAGCCAAATTGCCTGGAGAAGAGCCTGGAGAAGACACTTATGGGGGCAGCTATACAAGGGTGGACTCATCAGGGATCTACTCTAGTCCTTTCTCGTAGGAGGGGTGATCACACCCAGAGACATGAACCAAATAAGTAAAATGGACTCAACCACCATTGCTAAATAATGAGAGGAACAAAATAGTCCAAAAAGCTATTTCAGTGTAGTGATTGAGATTCCAAGGGACACTTGGACAGAGGAGGACATTCTGCAAGTGATAGGGTTCTATCCCCAGACCAGAGGATATAGTGGTGGACTAGACACTTCCCCCTCCTATGTGTTATTGGAGTGGAAGAGAAGAGCCCAGCTTGTTTTGGGGGTAAGAGCTTCCAGTTAAACAAGGATGTAGGGGTTCGGGTGGTTCACCCAACCACCCCTTCAAGCCAGTGAATCAGGGGGTAGGGTCAAGGCCACACCCTTCGCTGGGACATTTGCCCCAAAGGAGAAAGCACACACCACAGACAGTGCTTCTCAAGATTATGGAAGACTTTGTGACCATGTGCACCTGGGCTGGAAACTATGTGTCTTCAGGGATGCAACCTATGCCAGTGGGGGAAAGGGAGTATGAAGCCTGAATGGAACAATCACTGCAGGCAGTAGAGGAATGGAATGTTCCAGAGGCACAAAAGAAGCATAATATCATGGAGATATTCTGACCTAGGCTTCCCCAAAAAGCACTAAGCAGACTTTTCATCCTGGCAAAACCCCTTTTATTAAATGAAGGTGAATTTCTTGCATTCACATTTAGCCAAAGGCCTGGCAAACAGTCTTGCAAGGGTCTAATTAGGAGCACAGACCTTATTTAGCTTGGAGAGCTGCCAAGTAAATATTTTCAAATGCTGTGCTGACAAGGAAGGGCTTGGCACAGGGTCTCTGAGATTCACAGACATCTTCGCACTGCTGCAATGAACGAATTATTTCCTGTAAAAGCCCCCTCCCGTTTGCTCCTCTTTTAATCTCTATGGGAGGGGCCATTCACCATTCATCTGTGGCCTTACTCTCATGTCAACCCTTAGTTCATAATTGTTCTTTTCTTTTGGCAGCTCTGCGCATACACATGTTGGGAACCGGCTCCAGCTGCTCCCTTGCCCCACTGCTGTTCAACTCTGAAGGCAGCTGATAACTACCAGCCTGCCCTGGCCCCATCCCTGCCTCTGATGCAGAGCCCTCATCCGAGCCTTCCTCAGCCTACAGGACTGGCCCAGGTTCCTCTCCAACCTCCTCACTGTCCAACTCTGCTGCCAGCTAGCTGCCAACAGGCCACAACAGGAGAGCCTGAAAGGTCCTGCTGCAGAAACCATTAGAAATTTAAAGCTAGGCAGGGTTATGTAAAGCTCATGACTACCTCTGCATATTGTAGGATGAGTTCAGACAAACAGAGTTTCTAGCCTGTTGCAACAGTTTGAGCGGACATACTAGAAAAAGGGTGAAAGACTGTCTGGGTATATTAGACACTTAAATCAGTTATTGTATCAGATCGTGTTGAGGAAAGGGATGGAACCAGTTGAGGTAGATTGGACTAGATGCAACAGATTCTGTGAGATGCCTTACACACAGACTCAGTCTGGATGCAGCTAAGGGCTCTGAGTAAGGGGTTACACCAGAGTATTCCAAAATCATAAGGAGGTTGGGGGCAAAAGAGGCAAGGGAGGATGCAAAGGAAGCGTGGCCAACTTGCTGGCAGAATTGCCCCTAGAAGCTGGGGTGGTGAGCGCTGCAGATGCTGATGCCAGACTTACCACCTTGGAGAATCAAATATCCTGATTAATGGAGGCAATGGCCTTGTTGGCAGCAAAGGCAGCCTCAACCCAGAGTGGAGATGCGACACGACCAGTCAAAGAAAGGGTGGGCATCTCTGCCCCAGCTGAGAAGTTGCTGAGATCAGTGATTTGTTATCTTTGCAGGGGCGAAGGACACAATAGATGTACATGTCCGAGACCACACAGACCAAGAAGTCAGACCCAGTCAGGAAATCATAGAAGGCCCCAATGAAGGAGCCAACTGGGTGCCCACCTATGGTAGCTATTTCCAGCCTTAAGAATGGTGGACAGCAGAATTGAGCACTGCAACCAAAAATAAAATCCCACCTAAGCCCTACCTGGTTGCAGAATCAATGGGAACACCTTCTTCTGTAACGGGTTTCTACTTATGAGGGTCTAGCAAGGGTAAAGCAGTGAGGCATCACAACAGGTACCAATGACAACTTTTGCATGCACAGAAGAGTGCCCAGGCATGAACTGTCAAACCATTTGTCAGAAATGGTGTAGGCAGGGTCTCCTGCTTGGGTGGGAGGTTGGACTAGATGACCCACAAGGTCTCTTCCAACTCTGTTAATATGTAATAGACCAGATGCCTTATCCCTCACCAACAGAGTCCCTGACAAATTAGTGGACCCCTCCCTCATAGTGCCAGTGCAAGTGGAGGGTATTTACACAAGGATCTCCTGGATTCAGGCATGCAGGTGACTCTGTTCTACAGGGATTTCTATGGGAGACATCTGAAGCACCTTCCCCTACAAAAGCTGGACAATCTGGAGATTTAAGGACTTGGGACTGAGAGATTTCCTTACAACAATTATTTACCGCTCCAGCTGATGTTTGGCTTTGGCTGTGAGGCACCCTGAAACTGTTGATATCTTGGCCATTGTATGCACCTGCCCCTCACAATCCCGTGCATTCAAACAATCAAGAGAAGACTGCTTTCATATGTCCACTGGCATTCTACGAGTACAGTTGGATGCTCCAGGGTTTATCAGGAAGACGACATCATCGTCTTTGGAGAGACATTAAAATAGCATGAGGAGCACCTGGTGAATGTCCTAATACATCTCCATGATGACGGGTTGAAGCTGTCACTGGAGAAGTGCCAGTTTTATCAGCTATCAGTTACTTACCTTACAGAAGGGATATCGACCAATCCTATGAAGCTTGAAGTGATCCCTGGCCCAGACTGCAAAGTTTGGGCGAGCTGAAATCATTCTTAGGATTTTGCTCCTATTATCAGCAATTCGTCAATGGGGTTGTGAAGATAGCCCCTCCTCTCAATGACAATTTTAGGAATGAGGAAGCTAAAGATGTTTGAGTAAGCCCCACCAAATAAGGGACCCATGAAGTCCTGGCAGTCAATACAAGGAGAGCAGTGTCAGCAGGCTTTTTGCTAAATGAAGAGGAGCCACTATTCTGGTCTATGCAGATCCAACCCTATGAGCTACATGTCGACATGTAAGGGACAACCTTGATGGGGTATTGTATCAATAACATGAAACATTTAAGGCTTATTGCCTATGCCAGCAGGAGCCTCATCCCACTCAAGAAGAACTATCCCACTCATAAAATAGAATCCATGGTGTCAAAATGGGCAGTGGTGGACAAGCTAAAAGTCTACATATATAGATGGGGTGGAGTTTGAGGTCAAGACCAATAACTTAATTCACTTATGTATCTCCTGCCCAGGGCATATGTGATTGGCTGTTCTCCCTGGATTCCACTTAAACCTAAAGTACTATCCAGAAATAGGGAATATGGATGCAAATGCCATGTCAAGAAGGCCTTATGACCTAGGGCTGCTGATAAAGAATGGGTATGCAAGCCCTGTACCAAGGGATTGAACACCAGGCTAGAGGAGCAGCAGGGGCAGAGGCTATTAGGGTCACTGCTATGAGTGCCACCAAACTATACTGCAATCCCACTCTGGTGAGAGATGGAGGCTTGCCTGTCCTAACCAAGAAGGACTTGAGGAGGCCCTGTTAGCCAAATGCCCGAAAGAAGCCAACTGCCCAAAAGACTGTTGCATAAAGAATGGGATCTAGAATTTGGTGTTTCCATGGTTTGCACCAGGGCTACTTGGATTGGTTGAGGAAGAGCCTGAAGACTGCATATGATACAGCTTAAGCCGTTTCAGGGACACAAGGCCAAAGAAACAAGAGGAATTATGACTGAACATGAAAATTCCAGTTTTGTAGCCCGGTGACCAAATGTTGTTGCTGAATCTGGGCATCCCCCAGAAAGCATAAATTATTTGACTGATGGAGTTCCCAGACTTGTATTGTCTGCGAGAAGCTACCTGGGTAGCCAGATTCTCCCAGAGGAGACTATTTCTGAATGAGGTGGTATGAGTGCCCCCACAGTCCAAGTTGTAGCCTGCAAAACTTTTCCCAGAGAGAAAGGGTCCAATGACCAGAGAACAGCCCTCTTCACCAATGGAAGAGGAAAAGGAGGACAGTGATGAAGAAGGGGGCTGGATGAATTGGCTGTGGCCATCTAAGCATGCTGAAGCTGCCCCACCTACACCTGACACAGATATTGGCTCAGGGACACTTAGGCCAGAAGCCCCCAAGTTTGTGCTACAAGCTTGGGAGCAAGAAGAAGTCCTCATGGAGCCTGCAGAAGAGGCAAGTGGATCCTCTCCACAGCCGTCAGAATCCAAGAATGAGCTCCTAGCTCCAGGGACTCCTGAAAGTGCTGAACCTTCAGAGGAAGACCCATTCGCCCTAGGTGAGCCCAAAGAAGGGTAATACACCACCCTCAGAGATTGACATATGGCACTCTAGGCCATAGCACGGAGAAGGTGAGGTGTGAGATCACTGTTGGTGAACTGTTTGCCACTCTTTGGGGGACCAAAGATTCTTGGGCAGGGGAAATGTATAGCCACCTCCCAGTGATAGCGCTCCACCAGCGCCTAGATATCCTCATACTAGGAGCGAGGAGTATCACCCAGAAATTTGAGGGGAAGGAGCAGCATGGGATAAAGAGGGGTTAAAAGGGGGAGCACATGGAGGAAAGAGAGAAAACAATGGGAGACTGAAGAGGAGAAGGGGAGGAGGTGAAGGAGGAGGAAGGAGAACAGGGTGATAGCAGAGTGGGAGAGAGGAGCCAAAGTAGAGTGGAAGAATAGCAGCTACTTCTATTTTTTATTTTACTTTTTATTTTTTTCAATTTATATTAGTTTTTACTGTTGTAAATATAATTTTTAATAAAATTATAAAAACTCAAAGAAAGAATACATAAATCATATGATTGTTTATTTTGAGATTAAAAATCATAGCTAAATCAAAATAAAAAGCACAGAGGTTGTAATTAGTGTAATCCATGATGAAATAGAAATTCATCAATGCACTATATAATGTTTAGTTAGAATACTTGACATTCCAGGTGAATTTTCCCAAGGCTAACTGTTTATCTGAAAATCAGCATATCTGAAAGAAGGTTAAGTTGAAACAAGTAGATGCTTCCACACTATTTGAAAAAATGATGCAAGAAGGGAGGGAGAGGACATTTTATCTGAAGCTACTCAAGATTATTTCTGGATACTTTAGTATGGATATTGCTTAAGTATCCACATATCAGGCACTTCCCCTGAAACCACTTTTAACATTACAATAAATCAATGTAATGTTTTGTGAAGTAACTCACTCCTTGCTATTAAATAAGATCAGACTTCTGATCAAGCCTCTCTAGAGTTTGGCCTGTCACTAATAATATCATTCTGCAGTTCTGAGATTTCTTGGCTAAGAATGAGGGAGAAGCAAGAACAATCACTTAGCTGCAAACTCATTACTGACAACAATACAACTGGAATAGCCAAACAATCCCTATAAGTGGCTTTTAACTCACTGACATCAGAGAATTGTTTATTGTCTTCTAGCCAAAGAGATGGAAAGATGGGAGGGAAGGCGCATACAGGTAGTTCTTGACTTACGACCACAAATGAGCCCAAAATTTATGTTGCTAAGTGAAACATTTGTTAAGTGAGTTTTCCCTCATTTTACATCCTTTCTTGCTACAGCTATTAAGTGAATCATTGCAGTTGTGAAGTTAGTAACATGGTTGCTAAGTGAATCTGGTTTCCCCATTGACTTATCAGAAATTCACTGAAGGACACTGCAACTGTCATAAATATGAATCAGTGACCAAGTATCTGAATCACGCGATCAAAGTGAAGCTGCAACAGGCATGTGAAAAATGAGCATAAGTCACTTTTTTCAGTGCTATTGTAACTTTGACCTGTCACAAAATGAATTGTTGTAAGTTGAGGACTACCTGTATTATATTACATTACAGGGTCATGAAAATCCTTTGAAAGAGGTTCTATGGAATGAAAGGACGTGATAGAAAAACATTTTTTTTTTTCAAATCCTGAAAGGACATGATCCTTTCCCAAAGTCATACAGCTGCTTGAGCTTGGAAAGAGAGGCAGTAACTCCAAGGAGTCAAAAAGAACCCTTTCATAATGTTCTTGTGTACTATGAAGCACCTCTTTCAAAGGATTTGCAGTCCTAACATTAAAAACCAGCCATAGGGACAGAGCAAAATAGCAACACAAGTATCTATCAGCCCTTGCCATGGAATGAGGGTGCTGCCACTGCTTGTCATTTGAGATGTTTAGCCTTCCTTGGGAAAAAAAATGAGTAGGAGGGGAAAGCATACAGTATGGCTATTTATTACTTCATATGTGGTACCTCGGATATAACATGCTAAGCAATCTCAGGTGAAGGATCTTAGTGGAAACCGTTCGGGATGGGATCAACAGGGCAAAAGTGACATGTGCTCTGGCCCCTTGGATGGAATATATTCATGAATTAGATAGTGCTGGGATGGCTGTTACTTACAACCTGAACAGGTGGGGACAAATGGTGTGAATGGCAATAGAAGAGAACAGTTTGGCTGGGAAATGAAAGAGGAGTTGCAGGAAAGCAGGCAATCGGGGCCTGAATACACTCCACAAATTTGATGACATAATGACTCTTAGGATCCAGAAGAAAAGTAATAACTCTCTCTTGAACTCAGCACGGTCAGACCATTGGTGAAGATAATCAAGAACTCTCTGATATAACTTTCAACTCCCAACAAATCCCCACCAGCCTTCCTAATTATAAAAACATCTGGAAAGGTCTAGATTTTCCACTCCTGACCTAAATGTTCCGAGCTGAAGCCTGCTAAAATGCTATCCACCTGCTTGTACTGAGGGTTTTTTACTCCCCTCACTAAATAGAGTTTGAAATCTTCAAAGCAGCAATTAATAACGTACTTGATCACACAAATATTTACATATGCAGTTCTACAACTCACACACTTTGCACATCTTGTGTGACATATGATATGTTTTCACTGGCTAAGGAAATACCTCCATTCTCCATACAACCATCACCACAATCTGTTGCCTCTTCATCAGTGGAAAACTGAGTGGTCATCTCTTCACTCTTCAATGTGGGCTTCAATGTCTCCGCAGTGGACTTCACACCTGCACATTAAAGAAAAGAGAAAAGAAAGGACAAACAAATAAATGATTTCACCAGATTCTAGATCGAAGTGAGATAGCAATCATATGTGATAGGAAAGAGAGGATTTTAGTTTTATTCACTTCCTATTGGGCCTCAGCTTGCCTGGCTAAATAATACTGGGACAGTTTGTTATTGAACCACCACTTACCATTTTTTGAATGATAATCTGGCAGATTGGAAAAGGCTTCAACAGAAAAGTCCAGTACTTAGGAAGGCAAGTGACTACAAGTAGCCCTTAACTTATGACCACAATTGAGTCCCAAATTTCCATTGCTAAACAAGACAATTGTTCAGTGAGTTTTGTCCCATTTTATGACATTTCTCACCATAGTGTCGCTAAGTTAGTAACATGGTTGTTAAGTGAATCTGGCTTCCCCATTGATTTTGCTTGTCAGAAGGTTACAAAAGATGATCACAGGACTCTTGCACATTGTCATAAATACATGCCAGTTGCCAAGCATTATGAGTCCCGGTGGCGCAGTGGTTAGAGTGCAGTACTGCAGGCTACTTCTACTGACTGCCGGCTGCCTGCAATTTGGCAGATCGAATCTCACTAGGCTCAAGGTTGAATCAGCCTTCCATCCTTCCGAGGTGGGTAAAATGAAGACCCAGATTGTTGGGGGCAATATGCTAACTCTGTAAACCACTTAGAGAGGGCTGTAAAGCATTGTAAAGTGGTATATAAGTCTAAGTGCTATTGCTATAATGCTATCTGAATTTTGATCACATGACCCTGGTGATGCTGCAATGGTCATGTGAAAAATGTTTATATGTCACTTTTTTTCAGTCCCCATTTAGAATATAATCCCAAACATACTGCATATGGTCAAGCCCTATGATGCAATCACAATTATTGAAGTCATCAACAGTGGTATACAATTAAAATTACAATTTAAAACAGGTCTTCCTCAAACAACAGCACTTAGCCAATTAATATTTTTTTAAAAGATGAACAGTGCTATATCTAAATAATAAATAATAATAAATAATAAATAATAATTACAAGACAGATCCAGGAAAGAAACAGTTATGAACATACAATGACATAGGCATAAGAATAAATGCCTATGGTAGCCCCAGGCATCAATTCTACTCTCATATCTTCTCTAAAAAAAAACCAAGGTTTTGACTTAATAATGTCACTCCCCTGAATCAAGAGAAGTTGTTTGTCCTCCACTTGTTGTACATGCCATTGCTATCAGCAATATACACCACTTACTGTCCCCTTTACATAGGACACAAGCTGCCCACACTCCATACAGTGGAATACATGGATACAAATCTGATATCAGAAATGGAAATATTATTACAGCAATAAGAAAACATTTCTATATTTTACACTTCAAGATAAAAAAAACTGCAAAACAATTAATAAATTCATTAATAAATCCAACACCATTTTACAGATTATGAATAGAATAAACTTTCTGACCCAACAATATGTTAACCATCAAAAATGTTATATCATTCCTGCAACTTCATGCAATTTTGCCCTTCTTTTCTTATTTCTTTTTACCCAGTTCTCCTTTTTTACTCTCTTTCACCAAACATAAACCTACTATTTATGGGCTTATGCTATTATTTTTCAAAATAATAAGCTCCTATGATAATGGATTAGTGGCCTTTACAATGCCACAGGCCCCTTGGTTGTTTTATTACATTAGACTTACACAGCTGGAAACCAGTATATTTATTTTTTGTTTATAGACATTATGTAAATTTGAGTTTGCCAACATATATAAAGGTAAAATATATAATGCTAAGTGTCAACTTCCAGATCACTTTTTCTTTTTGATGGACCCTAAGCTCTCTTCAAAAATAAAAATGAGCACCTTCATCTCAATGTTTTATTTGAATTGCATGAAATGAAGCAGAAGGATGAGAGGCAAGATCATGAGCAATTGATAGTTTTTAACCAATTTAACTGTCTCTCGTGGATGACATTTTGTGAATGATCAAAACCTTTCCCACTAGCTATTTTGCAACAGCCCTCAGCACAACCTCAAAATCTCAAGGATGTTAACTAACACAAAAAGAACTCTTCAGTATATATAATTGAATCTTGCATATTTAAAATCTCTCTTTTTTTCAAAGATTTCTTTCTTTCCGAGACTGTAGAAATATAGTCCATTTCTACATATTATTTTTCTTTTGTCCTCTCCCAAACAGCAGTTAGCTGTCAGTACTTTAGTCAGGGTGCATAGTTCAGTCTTTATGTGTGTCTTGTCTGCCAGGCGTTTGGTTCTGGCGATTAGTGTTTTGGCCACGGAGTTCATCTGTGCTGGGTGGTGGTGGGATTGGGCGTTGAGGTAGCGGTTGGTGTGTTTTTTCTTCTGGTATATGGTGTGTCCTAGTGTGCCATCTGTTTTTTTGTAGATTAGTACATCTAGGAATGGTAGTTGTTTGTTTCCGTTTCCATGGTGAACTTGATTTTGGGGTGTTTGCTGTTTAGGTGTGTTAGGAAATTGTTTAGGTTTTCTTTTCCATGAGGCCAAATCACAAATGTGTCATCGATGTATCTTAACCATAGTTTGGGTTTGTGGGTGGCATTAGCTAGGGCTCTGGATTCAAATTCTTCCATGAACAGGTTTGCAATGACAGGTGACAGTGGTGATCCCATAGGGGCTCCTTCAATTTGCTTGTATCTTTGTCCTTTGTATATGAAATATGTGTTGGTTAAGCAGTGTTCTGCTAGTTCCTTGAGGTGTTTAGCTGGTTGGTATTTATTTTTGATGATTTCAAGAGTTTCTTTTATCGGGACTTGAGTGAATAGTGAAACCACGTCAAAACTTACAAGCAGATCTTCTTGTTCCATGTGTAGATCTTTGACACAGTAGTAATGGATAGAAAAGACTACGAAACAAAACTGACACACCTACTCCAAGACTCCACATACAAACCCATAAACACGGACCCAACCACATATCTGGAAAAAACAACCAAGAAGAAAATTATAACCAGCCACATGAGCAAAGAGATTCAACAGACGATCATCCCAAGAGAAAAATCTTCCAGATGCCCCAAACTATATGGCCTCCCAAAAATACACAAAGAAGGCATTCCTCTCAGACCCATAGTCAGCTCCAGAGGAGCACCACTACAAAACCTAGCTAAACACTTAGCAAGCAGCTACAGCCCCATGCTGAAGCAGCAGCTTCACATGTACAAAACTCATACCACTTCTTGGAAATGATCAAAGTTCTACACGTACTGACAGCTAATGGCTTCCACAAAAGCAAAATCACCGGCTTGATCCACAAAAACACACTGAGACATAATGGAGACCTAGAAGATGAACAGACCTATGGAACAGCTGTCCTGCCCTACATAAGAGGTACTACAGACAAAATCAGTAAGATACTACACAGGCATCACATCAAAACTGCCTTCAAAACAGACAGAAAAATAGTAGCCATCCTAAGAAACCCCAAAGATAAAATTGACCTGGAAAACCAAGGCATATATGAAGTCCCCTGTGCATCATGCCCGGCCACATACATTGGACAGACCAATAGAAGAATAAGTACCCGCCTGGATGAACACAAAAATGCAGTAAAAAGCTGGAACACACTTCCTCACTAGTCCAACACGTGAAAGCAACAGGTCATAGCATCGACTTCAATGGCACCAAAACCCTAGCCACTATAGAAAACCCCAGCCACAGAATTATCAGAGAAGCCATAGAGATTGAAAAAAGTCCTGAAAGCATGAATAGCATGATGATTCCACCAGACGGGCAAATTTTGGAAACCTGCATTCACAAACAAAAAATTCTCCACACCACAAGCCAGGCAAACACCTGGGCACAAACAGATCCCCCCTGATACCTCCAGCTCAAATAGGCACCCAAATGAAACCTAGCTTCCTAATAAATGATAGCCGTCCATCTACTCGGAGCCAAGCTGCACTAAAATACAGGAACACAATGTTGCCAGCCAATCAAGACAAAAAAAGCCACAAAACAGACATAAGATATTAGAAACACCAATCAAGCAGAACACAGCAAACTCCAAGACCAATAAACACAGACCAAGACTCCCAACCAATCAGGATGAAGAAAAAACCATTCTGGCACAACAGTAGGCTAGCCCCAAATTTAAAACTGAAACGGCTGTGAAAGTCTGACTCACAGACGAACACTATACAGAAGCCTGATGATGGCAGATGGGCTTCTGCTGAAACGTTGCTACAACTTTAAAAGCACAACTATAATGACGTGGGAAAATACCCGAACAAAGCTGAATGCCATACATGAAAACATGTATGTATGTATGTATGTATGTATGTATGTATGTATGTATGTATGTATATGTATATATGTATATATGTATATATGTTTTCTTAAGCTTTCGCGGGTACTTACATGTATGTTATTCAGCTTTGTTCGGGTATTTTAAACTTTAAAAGCACAACTATAATGACGTGGGAAAATACCTGAACAAAGCTGAATAACATATATGTGTGTGTGTGTGTGTGTGTGTGTGTGTGTGTGTGTATACACACACACACACACACAAACAGTATAAAGATTCTTATTTCAAGATTACCAGCCTGCCAACCAGATGGGTCCTAAGAAAACATAATACCGGAAACCCTGCTGGGAGCTGATCCGAGAGTTCACAGACGTGTTCGACAGGAACCTGGGCAAGTATACGGGAACACCCATCTCCTTCAACCTCAAACCCCAGATCGCCCCCATAAGGATGAAGCCACGCAGGATCCCCTTTGCTTTATGGCCCAAAATAGATGGTCAATTAGACAAATTAATTGCCCAGGGTTTTTTGGAGCCGGTAGACCATGTGAAGTGGGAAACGCCAATAGTAACGCCTGTCAAGCCAGATGTGTGAACTACAAATGCATGATCAATAAGGCATTGCAGCAGAATGCCTATCCAGTGCCTGTCGTGCAACACCTTTTACATTCCCTGGGCAAGGGAAAGACTTTTGCAAAATTAGACCTA